CCTGTGGTGAGAAGCCAAATCATGATTATGCATAACGCATACTATGTTTGGACAGTCCATAGCTATGATATATGGAGGATATATCTATTTGGCTATCCGGGAGATGTCGCGTCTGGGTACAGATTCCAAAGTTTCGGCCGTCATTCTGGGACCTTCCTCGGGGAGAAATGAGAATAGTCACAGAATGGCGGGTAAAACATTGGCATCTGTAACTAAGTCGCGGTGTCTCCCGGACAGCCAAGTATATACTAACTCTGGTCCCGGAAGCCTAAGCTTTCACTCAGCATGTCTTGACTTCTCACCTTAGAGTTATTCTTATTCAATTAAAAATGTATAATTTTTTTAATTATTATTATACGAATGCAGAATTTAAAAAAAAGTAATCATCAATTATAACTTATAATAAAAATAAATTTCATTTCAACGTGATAACTTAAAAAAGTAGCTATCTAAAAGTTTTCGGCTCAGGAGACACCTCGTCTTCGGAAGGGTTATCGTTCCCGCTATTTTTTAAGAGATTTAAATTTAAGAAGATGGATTAATTTTCAATTTCAATTGTTAAATTCTCAAACTCTTAAGGTTTTAGAAAGCAGCTCATGGAGGAAAGAGAGATAAAATTATTGGAGTACGTTGTAGGTAATCTTTCTTGCCACGATTTTTATTCAATCGTAATACTTTAAAAATATTAATTCTTAAGGTAAACATTATCTAATTAACACTCCTGCTGTTACAAACTCCTTCTTATTGCTGTGCTCTGATCAGGAAATAGTATTAATAAGTTTTTAATTATTCACAGTTGTTGACAACTCCCCTTTTTAATACGTAACGCAATACATTTTCTATTGGAAGATTCCATAGATGGTGTTATTGCGAATGTAGTTCGACTTCAGTCTTCTCTTTCCTTCTGTACCAAAAAGTCGTACTTACATTTGGCGTTTTCGTATTCTTGAGATAATGAATGTGGTATCGTCATTCAGATATCTATAGCCTAAGCCGACAACTGCTAGATATCTAGCGATCTGTTTTATCCACTGAATTGGTTACGCTCCTTTTGCAGTGCAGTGCTATTGATCTTTAATTTTATTAGCTTGTGTTAGAGATTGACATTAAAACTGTTGCGGAAAAATTATGTTATCAAGTAGCAGTAAATGAAGCCAGAAAATTCTATTTTTATTAATAATATTCATCAACAGTTCAAATGGTTCTTTAAATTCAGTTTGCCAATCCGTCGGGTGATTGATTCGTACTTTAGTATGATGATAAAAGGGATTAATTTGCTTAATTATGAGTAATTGAGAAAATAACTTATTGATAAGATATGAGTAATTTGCTGCTTGTACCTTGGTGCAAATCAGCCTTGTTATGTTTATATTATTACAATAAAATTTTTTTTAAAACAACATCACTCATTCTGATGTTTGTATTAGTAGGTATGAACGTTTTTTAACAGTTCTGAATATCGTGAGTTCATATTTACATCACTTTCATATTAATTTTTGTTCTTTTCTACAATTCTCACATTATTTTAGACAAATGAAATAATGAAAGTACTAGATGTTCTGTTTTTGTATTGCCAGGGTGATTAAAATGTCGCTAAAATGTCGCTGTCGGTGAAAAAAAAAGCAAGACATACATAAAATATTGAGTTAATGCCATTGATGAATTTATTGTTATTATTATATTATTATTATTGTTCTTAGATTATTATTATTATTATTATTATTATTATTATTATTAATATTATTATTATTAGTCTTAAAATAATTTTATGTTACATTGTATTAATATTCCTCATTGTAATATATAAATTGTAATGTTCAGCCACGAGGTTGTATAAACATACCTGCAGGAATAATAAATATCAGTTTTCTATGGATCAGCAGTTGATTTATTTTTTTCTCAAAGCGACATTCTCTAAACGAGCTAATTACACGTTCTCATTAACGATCTGAGAATAAACTATTGAGCTGTTATCTTTATTTCAGTGAAGTCTAAAATTGCCACTATTCGTAATGTGTTGGTTCTGGGCAGTCAATCCGTTCGGAGGATTGTTCTTGTTCCTCGCTTTTCTTCCGCCTGCCCGAGAGTCTAACCGTGAAAGACAGAAATGGTCAGTCGGAGGCCGGCGCGGCGCCTGTCTCACCCATCCGGAAAGGCAACGCGGCCGACGCACGGGCAGAAAGCAAAAGTAAACGAAGTCTTCAGCGAGCCCCAACTTTTCAGTCCGAGCGCTCCCCTCCTCCCCCTCCCCTCCCCCACCCCCTCCCGGATGCTCGCCCTGCAGATCGTTTCCGCTTCGCAGCTTCTCAAAAGCGCGCGGCTCAAACGATGCGGCGCACCTCGGTTCAACCACCGGACGCAGTGGTCCAGCACCTCCGCCTCGCAGGCGAAGACTACACAGTAGTAGGTTGTTGAAGGGAGTCGCGAAAGGTGATAAAATAGGTGTTGAATTTCTGTTTGAGTAAGTTGCTTAAATGTTTACTTCAATTTTTTTTATTTATGTGGAAAGGAACTGGCAAGAATTGTATTCCAAATTATTCTTACTTGAATGAAACCAATAAATAGAGAACATAAAAATTTAAAAAAATGAAGAAACAAACTTGAAGGGGAATTTAGAAAGAATTGACTTCATTCACTATTTTTCATCATTAATAGTTTTATTAAGATTTAATTTATTGTGAATATTATTATGAATTATTTCGCCATTAGCATTTATTCATATTTCAACCAAGTATGGTAGACAGGGTTAGAGATTCAAGAGTTCCAGAAAACTTGTCCAGAACGTACTTCATATGTCTTATGTATTTTTAACTCTTTTACGTTAAATAAATATTTATCAATTTAAATATGTTGCAACGATGTATTTCCCATCCCATCAAGCAATTCGAACTCTTACACAAATAATTTTTTATCATAGTGACAAAACAAATTCAGGGGTTAAAGTTACGAAAAGTATTTAATTCTTTTATTTAAAAAATACTTATCCAGCGGATTTACGATTTACAAGTTTTGATATATTAATAAGCTAACTTCGTATAAGCCTTAAAAAGAGCGAGGCTACCACCTTTGAAGTCTTCAATTCCAATTTAAGTATTGTGTGACTAGGGTGATTCGAAGGTATGGCAGAGGGTTAGGAATTAATAAATTAGGTTAGAAGAGGAAATAGGTTATTAAGATGGTTTGAATCATAGGGGAATCTGGATTAAATTTTCCTTTGGGTGTAGAATTTTCCAAGTCCGAAATTACTAGCGGGTGGCGAAAGCCGTAAGGTAAGTAATAAAACAACAAATACCACTCGCAACAGAACTCATAGCTATCTGCAGTGGAGACAATCGGCGAGAGGCAGATAAAGGCATTTAGAGGTATGTAATGTGATAATGGTATTTATAGTGTATGGACACAGCCTCACCGACCTTATTCCACGTTTCTGAACGCCCATTTCAACAAAATCTACAAAACGAGATGTTTTGAGAAAATGTACTATATTTTATGGCGTTGCCTCTTCTGGGTTCCCTCATTCTATGGCAAGGGCAGGGCGTGCAGTTTCTCGAATTATTGATTGATTACACAGCAATACACAAACACACTCACACAATGTATTCGTGTCTGGGGATCAACCTATGTTTTCCATATGTTTTTGGGGTAGCTAAATCAGAATTTGGAGTCCACTTTAGTCCATCACATCAGTTTTTTGACCTAATCTCAAAATATGTAAAAATGAAAGATATTTCTAATTGAGGGGTCAGATTATTTTACCTATAAGTTTTGGGGGTCGCTGAATCCGAAGGTTGGGGAATCCATTGGGCCCTGCCGGATCAACACTCATTACGTTGTATGGCGGATTGCTTATATCGTTGGTGCCAGATCACTAGTTTTTTCTCCAAACTGACACAGATTTTTTTAAAAAATGTTTTGAGGTTATGTGAAAAATCTGATGTGATTGAGTAAAAAGGACCCAGGATTCGGATTTAGTGAACCCAAACACTTATAGAACACACTGATCCCTAGGCACCATCACAATTTGTGTGTGTGTGAGTGTGTGTGTGTGTGTGTGTGTGTGTGTGTGTGTGTGTGTTTGTGTGTGTGCGCGCGCGTGTGGCTGTGTTATTTCACGTCATCTGGCGCGTCAACTATAGTCATTAGTCCCGTGAATTTACAGCATGTTTTTGTAATTAGAGGTGACGTAGTTGTTGCCCCTGCTCGATGATGAGACTAACTACCGACATGAACGTGTGTTTACCTCACCAGAGCCACCTCAGAAAGTTTCTAGAATTATATTTAAACACGCTACAATACTACAATACATTTTGCCCTTCATACAGGGGGGAAGGGATGGGGCAGAAAAACATGAGAGCCCATGAGTCTCTTTTTCATTGTCTACGGTGATCTTCTCTGTTTGCCTATTAATGTAATCAAGGCCCGGGCCCACTGTGTGCCCTGTAAGCGCTCCTGCCTCCGCAACTCGCCCTTGGCCTCGCGTGCGCCGGAAGCGGCAACCGCTATCGAAGGCATTCAAAGAGAAAGACTACAACGGAGGAGACTGAAAAAGGAACGAAGAGACAAATCAAGAAAAAATGGAGAGTGGGAGAGCAATAAAGCAAAGCAATAGAGACAAAAGAAAATGTCGAGAGAAAAAAAGAAAAGAAAGGAGGGACACTATCAGAAGAGTGAAAATGGAAATTAAGATGGCAACGAGAAATTCGTAGTGAGGAGTCTGAGAGTATAGAAATGATTATCTATTTAAAATAATACCGATATTGCTAATTTTTTATTTAATAGCCGTAAGTCAATTTCAGTATTGTACTACACTAAACAATGCTCATTGTTCAGCAAGTGCGTTCTGGATCGGAACTTCTTTACTTGTTAATTCACGAAGACAGACATGTGTAACAGAAATAAACGAGTTCTATTTAATGGACCATAAAATGTGATGAACAAAAAGAATTGTCCAATCTGATTGATCTTTGTAATCCTGAAGTAGAAAAATCAATAGTACTCACCTCATAGTAGTTGAGAGGCAGATTGTGTGTCACAACTTCACTGATGACGTACGCGATGCATATCACTACAAGCAGCTTAGCGTAGATGAAGCTGAGAATGATGAACAGCGACGTCCTGAAAAAGAAAAGAAGATTCATAAAGTATCTCGACGAAACTGTAAAATCTGCTGTTCAGATAAAATCATATGTACACGCGCGCTCATCACTTTGTTATTTCGCAATTAATTTTAAAACAGATTTGACAATTAAAAAAGAAGGAATTATTTGGTCTCCATTCGCAACAGTGATGGTCAGCACTGCTAACTACAGTTACGAATTCCAAAAAGGGAAGTTGGTAAGACTGCAATCAGATTTATTTCCATTCTCTTTGAAGGTCTTGAAAACTGCTATCAAAACGAAGATGAACAGGCAACCCAGATTCTTGATGAATGTGGCGAATGTTCACAGAGTTCCCGTAATCAGTTTCCGTGATACTTAAATTCGTTCAAGAGTAAACGGAACCCAATCCCAATGTGAGCGGCATTGACTGGAGAACGTGACCACTACGAATGGAAACTATTTTTGCGTGAATGAAAATACGTTTCTCCTTACGGTCTCAGAGATGCTTGTGATAACACTGTTTAGTGGATTGGTAGAGGAAACTCAATTGAGCACCTGCAATTAAGGTAAGAGTTTACTGTACATAGTCGTGGCGTACGAGAAAATATTGAAGATTCCTTTTATGAGTTTAGGAATGAGAGGTTCTGAGAAGCCTAGGTGAAAGTATGTGTACCTGCTGTACCGCATGTACTCATGCGCACTGAAAAAGAAATGTGGAAGGAGGAAATTAAGTTTTGGGGAATTTTTAGTTTGGAGCACAGATAGCCAATAGTTCTGGTATACCAAAACATTCGTCCTAGAAAGTTTGGAATTTGCTTATAAAAGGAAGACGAATTGTACCTGTTCGAGTTAGCAGAGCCAGAGGACACACTGCGACCTTTAACGAACTGTGCTGAGTTTGGACAACTATCTTGTTCTGACGGCTCGTTTACTTGGTTTTTCCCTTCCGCTGACTCGGAAGCGCGATATTTCTACAGAGGCTTCTCTCACTTTTCGTCATAGAAACGGAACATATTTCACTAGTGGACCCGGCAATGCTTCGCTATTGCAACGTTTTACACTTCTAACGCTACTGGACTCATGACTGTTAATTACGTTTTACGCTACGCTCGGCAAAATATTTAATAAATGAAAACCTTTCTCGTGTGTATAGATTTGTTCTAGGTTCTGCTTTGGACATGGTTGTCAAGTATTCTATTGTTAAAACGTTCTCCATCACGTTTGGACATGCATTTGTCTCAGAGAAATTTGATTTACTTGACTGGGAAAACGTTTAAGTAATAATGCCAGCCGATATTTCACAATCGCAGGAGAAGAATATGCAGCTAAGAGAGACTTAATTCATGAAGGTGCTGCGGGTTGCGTTCCGGGGTGCCTGAAACAGTATAAACGCAATAAATCTTCATCATCGAGCGTTTATATTCAGAAGACATAATCACCTTCCCATCGCACTGTCCCCTTTTTTTTTTTTTTGCGCGAGTGCAAATAATAAGTGGACAAAGTTTTATCGCAACCGAACGAACCGCATGACAGCGCATAAAATACGAACAAATATTGATTTTAACATATTAGATTACTAACACCTCTTGCCCTTTCGAGGTTGAGGAATTGAAAGGAACATGTTCGTGTACTAAATACTAGTAATGAGTGCAGTTTGCATCCATCTTTCTGAGATGTAGTGCCGCAATGCAAATAACTTCTAAATTACCAGTCTGATTTGCAAAATACGCAAATCTTGTGAAATGCGAGAAAGTCCCGCAACGTGACTTATTTGTATTGTTTATACGAACAGATACAAAAAGTCATAACAGAAGAGCTCCAGAAAAAATATATTGCAAAATTTCCAATATAAAATAACTCTTTTTTTATTGTGAGACAGTATGTTTCGCCAATGCCTGAAGTGCGTAGAAGCTGGCGGAGATCATTTTCAGCATCTCTGAAGCAAGTATACACGTAAGCTTCCGCGGCTCGAGTTCCTGACTTCTTAGCTGTCCGGATGACGCCGTGTCGTTGGCTGAGAAGCCGAAGTTTCGCCTGCCATGTCGCAAGCTTCCTCATGGCAGTGACAAAGCAATGCTGCGATTCAGCTGTTAAAAACTGTCCGGCCTAAGCGCTCGCGTGGTGCAGGTGCGTTACGATTGACGGGGGGAGGTCCATCTGATTGGCCAACGGTCTGGCGTAATGAAGTTGCCTGAAGTAATGAAGTTCGTAGCTGTGACACGACGTACGTCGGCGAGACTTGGCGCTCGGTGTCCGAAAAACTTGGGGGACATTTCAGCCATTATAATCAGAATCACACCAACCGTTCGGCTATAGCGCACCACTCCGAGGTGACTGGATTTGCCAAGAAGTCATCTCTGATGTAAGTTGTTGCGCGCACCTCGAACCACAACAGGGTGACCTCTCATATTTTGCAACAAATTTCCCTGATTTTTTCCGGCTTTCTAGGAGTTATTTATTTTTTTCACTGATGAGATTTATAGAGTACTTCACAATATTTAAAGATAATATTAAAGCAAGTCTGAAACTAATTTGAGAGCTCTCTAACTTCACTGTGACAAAAAACAAATTAAAAAAAAACTCAACAAATAGAAATTGAACAAAAACTAATGCTGCACTATTCTTAGGAATAATATGTTGTTTTATAACCTTTTCAAAATTTTCCTTGCCTTCTAACAATTCTTCCTCAATTTATTTGATTCTCCCCTGACTTTTCGAAAGCAATGAAATTTCCTGATTTTGCCCTGTTTTCAAAATTCTCCATACAGTGGCTACTCTGCACGATCAGAGCAGCCAACCGTAGAAGTATTTTTCAGACCAATTGAATTCGACCTTGCTATCTGGATAGTGTTGAAAATCCTGTCAACGTCGGGACTCGAACCCCAGGGGCTCTCGGTCAGAGGCACTACAGTAACATCAGTTAAAGCCCTGAGCCACCTCAGCCGGACATCGTCGGAGAGCCTTTAGCGCCGAGAGCGACACAATTCTTAACTAGGCACATACGTCTCCCGTAGAACGAGGGCGCGTGTGTGAGAAGGGGACGTTTCTCTCTGATGTAGTCTCTTCGCAGCGGCGTCGCCGCCGAGCGTCGCTCGCTGAGCAGATGAACACGAAGAGCCGCTACTCAGGGCGTGGTCACCCTTCGGACGAGCCTATCGCCCAGGAAGTAGGTCCCCTACTTTTATCACATTTGTACACTTCAATCAGCAGCGAAATACCGTTCTGGTAAATGAGCGTGAGATGGAAGATTAAAGTTCCTCAAACCAACTCGGTCCCCCCCCTCTCTCCCTCATACATCCCTCTCTCACTCAATAATTTGAAATACGTCCCTAAACCAGTTTTCTAGAAAAAAACATTATTTTAATAAAATGTTCACCTTATAGAATCCGGTATTTTAAATGTTTAATTAACATTACTATGTAATCAGCATTCTACAAAAGCTCTACAAAAATTCAGAGTAATAAGGCAATTTTTTCATAAATATATCCCCCATATTGGATCCATTATTTCGTTTTCGTAGGTTTCGAAATGAAAAAGTCATTATCAGCAACCTAAAACATCTTGCTCCAATTTTAAGTACAATCTAAATAGTTTTTTCGGCTTCTGGGGAGCTTTTTTCAATTCAAGTGGAGTATTCGGCGGTGAACAGAGCGCTACTACCTCAGAGGGCGTGACGGGCAGCAGCTGGTTTTGTCATGGGAAATTCCGCTTGACCCGGTAATTTAAATAATGTAACAGAATGCTGAAACAACGACGTTAAATTACGTTGTATAACGCCTGTTTACCACGTTTTACTACGGAAGCAAATGTGTTGGATTGCTTTTGTGTTAGGAATGGTTGTTTTGCCCCTGAAGTGTTCTGAGATTAAGTTAGATCTTGTACAGACCGAGATAAACGGCTGTAATTGGACATGCTCTAAATTACAAGGCTGCCGCCACTGATTAAGTCCCAGCTGTCACTCAAGTTTCTGCCTGGAGCCTAAACATCCCACACATGACAGCGCTGCGTTCAACTGTTTCAACTCCGATCCCCACCCATCGTCTGCACGTTCTCTATTTTTGTTTAATTTAAAAAGGTATGTAGGCTTCAAGAGCGCTCAGAATGGCACAGCCCTATCTGCGTCACCGGCTCAGCGAGCGAGGCGAAAGTAAGATGGTCAGGGGGTGGGCGTGGTGAGGGTGGTTAGGGGTGGCGAGGGGGTTTTGGAGAGCCCTCGCGCCGCCGCCTGCTGCCTCAGGCGCTCTTCATAGCGTCGCCCGGCCCCGCCCACCCCATCCTCTGCGCCGCTCGCCACTAAACGCTCGGTTGCAGGCACCGCCCCGGCGAAAAAACTGCTTCTGGCGGGTGGTGGTTTTTGCACGTTCCAATAACGACATCCTAACACAATTTCTTTTAGCCCCTCTCTAGATGGAGGGCAATCGCAGGGTTGTATTCATTTTCTGGAAAGGAGATTGTCTTTTTTTAATATATATATATATATATATATATATATATATATATATATATATATATATACAACAAATGGGAATATTTCATTCCTGTAGTTCTCTGCTTGTTTCTTATTTTCATTCGCTTCTTCAAAATCGATGGAGGATGTCTATGTTGACTTTCTACAAGACAACAATGGTTTTGGATTTGGTAATATTGCAGGCTATTGTTTACTCGATGTTTTATTCGAAAAAATGAAGCAAGTTGAATTATTCTCTCATTAATTGTTCTATTATTTAATGACACTACATTGGTAGAACTAGCATGCCTGGTTATTTGTTTCTTTTTTGTAGAAGGAATACTTCCTCTTAACAGAGTGGCCACCCTTTTCCTAAAACAATTTCCCCGACGTTTCCTGTTTTTTCAGAGCATTTCAAATTTTTTCACAACGTACTAATAAGAGTATTTCATAGTAATTAAAGATACTATTAAAGCAATCCTGAAACTTATTTGTTAGCTCTCGGATTTCGCCGTGATGAAGTTAAAATTAAAACAAACTCAAACAATTTGAAATTTAAAAAAAATCAG